ACTTCCGGGGCGGGGCCGCGCGGCGCGGGAGGGGGGGACTGCAGCGAGAGGCCTTCAACTCACCGACATCCTTTAAAGAGAAAATAAAATCCATCCATCCTAAACTTCGAGCGGCCCGTGGGGGCCTCTACGGAGCCGCGGCGTTCTCGTACACTTACAGGAACTTTGGAGTTGAGAAAGTTTCACCCACGCTTGCTAAATGGCATCGCTGTGAAGCATCCCTACAAAAGGTGTTCCAAGTCCACACCAGAGGGCCGAATGTTAGCGATTTTACTAGACGTGTACAGAAATATTTAATCACTATTTAATAAAAATATTTAATCCAAATAAACCAATGTCTGGTTTTTCTACCATGGCATTTAGATACAGTATCTACAAAATCGGCATTCATTGATACAGCTTTGTTGAAATCCCACTCAAAAATACATGCAACATGCACTTCATATTACAGGAGTGAAAATTTGCGAACTCAGAAGGCTGAGGAGTGTTTCAGAGTTTTGGAGCACGCTGTAAGAGAGCCCAATCCTTGGTACACTGCTGCTTTTACACAAACCAAACCAAGAAATGTAGTGGGGCCACCATGGTATCTACCTTATCTGCACAAACATTTTTACCTACAGAAAATTCTTATGCCTTAGAGCAGGCAACCTAGCTCACCGTGGTAGCATGAGTAAGACTCTTGTAAACTTGTTCCCTCCCTTTGTTCTTTTTTAAATAAAATATTGATCTCTTGGCTTACTATAGTTCCAGGTAGAAAGTAGAAGACTGTTTAAAAAAGTTTTCATAAAGTGAATGTAGATAGTAACAATTAATGTAAACATCATGTTTTTGTTCCTGAGATACCCACACTGTATTTGCGTCTCTTCTTATTTGTATATTCATTCACCATATTCCATCTGTTCATCCATCTATAGTTCTGTAACTGTCCAGTAGGTTATCAAGCACATTTTCTTTCATTTTAAGTAGGTATGTACCCTACATCTCCTTAACACCTGAAAAGTGTCATTCATATAGTCATTTTCATTATTCTGGATATTTGTTTTCATTGAAAATTGGATTCATCACATAAATCATGAATTATTAATTCCCTCTGTGATCAACTGTTGCAGAAAAGCTAAGGAATCTGTTACAAGGATTAAATTAGAAATGTAGGTGCTGGGGCCTGTACTGATCTTCAACCCCTTCAATGCCCTTCAACCCCAAAGTACATTTGAAATATGTCAGCACATCCTTTTTCTTCTAAAAAATGATACAGCTGCCCCAAGTCCATATGATTTCCCCTGGCACCATGTGCATCAAAACATTTTTCTTCCAAAGTGGGGAACTTGCGTTGCTTCTGGATCTCAGCATGTCCTCCACCTTCCAAAGAAACATCTTCTCTGTGCCGAATAAGAATTCTTTTCCATGTTAATCTTCTTACCCTGAAAGCAATTGGGGAAATATTAATCTAACTACAGAATAAAGACCATTTTAGGAAATACTATGGAATAACTACTATCACAAAAGTCAATAAATTCTAATTGTATATATATATTGACAGAGATAATGGTATATGAGCTGGTAATAGAAATACTACTCACATGCAAACACTCCCATAAGCAGAAACTTGGGTTTTTTTTATAACTCCTCAGGATTTTAATTAAACTTTAATGCTATTTCTCACAAAATAATCAATGAGGATGTAGTTGCCATTTCAGGGCTCACTTCTGCCTTCCCTGTGCTAAGAATTCTCAGACAGTCTTAGCTGATACAATCAAATTACAATGCTTATTTAGTCTGCAGCACCCAGAAGGATAAATGATGGGAGCAGAATAAACACGAATGTGAAGTGATAGAACAGCACACATTATCTAACACAACTGGGGTACTGTGGTCCATCTCTATAAAATGAAACACAGAGAAAAATAAAACAGAAATAAATATGTACCATGCAGTACTGATTGCTTTGACTGTTGCAACCAACAGTACAGTGGATATTCAGAGTTGTACATGCATTATTATAAACACAAATACTTTGCAGATCTTCACATCCTAGCAGGTGGTTGGGTTTCCCACCTTCTGGCTACATGTACAACATGATAAAATGCAATATTCTAACTACTAATGGCATTTAAGTACAAAGAAGAACTAACCTTGACCAGAACTCTTCACAACTACTTTGTAAACCTTCTACACAAACAACACCTGGTTTCCCTGGCATGCAAAACCCTGACAGAGAGAGCTCCTTGGCCCAGTCAATGATATTCTTTCTTTTTTGTTTGTTGTAAATGTGATGACTATAGATCCACAATCGAGTGAACATGATGACTTCTGACTGTGTGGCTTCTGAGGCTGTCACTGAGGAGGATGAAAGATCTTTGTCAATGTAAGCAGCTGCGTGATCTTTAACCCATTCCCTCGCACTCAACATGCAGGGCTCGCCACTGAAGTTTTGCATCAAATACGTTCTTAGATCAGAGTTAAGGAGAATCTGCTGAGAGCGGCTTAATAATGATGACCTAACAAAAAAGAAAAAATATAAATGCATATAAATATATTTGTGTTTACAATTTAGCATGTTTTTAAAAACACAGAATAACAGAATCCTTAGGTTTGGAAAAGACACCCAATATGAAGACCAATCTTTGATCGATGATCACCTTGTCAACCAAACCAGTGCATGGAGTGCCACATCCAGCCATGCACTGAGCATCTCCAGGGAGGTGACTCCAGCACCTTCCAATGCCTGACCACCCTTTCCATGAAGAAATTCTTTCTAATGACAACCTGAACTTCCCTGAGGCCATTTCCTCTCATCCTGTTGTGTGTTCCCTAGGAGAAAAGGCCAATCTCCACCTGGCAACAGCCTCCTTTCAGGTAGCTGTAGAGAGTGATAAGGTCTTCCCTGAGTCTCCTTTTCTCCAGGCTAAACAACCCCAGCTCCCTCAGTTGCTTCTCATAGGACTTGTGTTCCAGCCCCTTCCCCAGCTTCATACCTTTTCAAAAGTTTTGCTTCAAGCTGCCAAGAAAATCAGGCATAGTCAGATAATATGTTTGCTATTCATATTTAACTCATATTAGCTATGAAAACATCTTCATTAGTATTTAATTGGTGTGCTAACTCTTGAATTCACACACAGCACTACCAATCTGTAAAACAAAGTCAAGAAAAAGGTACTTCAAAAGTAAATATGGTGGCTGAACTAATTTCCTGTAATACACAAGTCTACTTCTTTAAACAGAAATAACAAAATCAGAAGGATGGAAGAAACAGTATTGTGACAAGAGAAGAATAAGACCTTTAACTATCTTTTCACCCCTTCAGTTTGTCTTAAGCTTTATCAAGACACATCTTTCTTCTTGAGCATCAGACCTATGAACAGTATCTACATGTAACCCTTCTGTACAGGTGATGGCTCCTTCATGCCTTTTCCCTTTCCCTCACTTTCTGCTGAGCACACCAGAGAAATCATAAACTCGTTTGTTTTTTCTTCAGCATTGTTGTCAACCTTGCTTAATTTGGCAGTAAACCATAAAAAAATTAAAAAAAACATATTTTCTCTGATCATAACCATATTTATGCAACACACTTTAACTTATAAATGTTTTTATTAGCAGTCATACCTCACAGTAATTTCTGGGAGAACAGTCGGATATTTAAATGGTAAAGCACAGCCCATAGAGAATTCCACCTAAAAACAAATGAGCAAATATTTACTTCATGTAAACCATAAAATTCTACAAAATAATAAAATATTTTTTTAAAAAAAAAGCTGTTTACAATACCGTAGAGGCATTAGGCACCTCTGCCTTTACGTTCAGTATAAATTGAAGTTTTGAAGATGGCACCTCTGCAGATTCATTTTCAACATAGTGTTTCAGTTCAGCTAGAGCCACTTGGTCTGTCACAGCAAACTCTTCCTCATAAGGAAACATGCTAGACAGTAAATCTAACTCTGAAATTTGTATTTCTGCTTCTTCTTGGTTGGCCATTGCTGTTGTTCCTTGAGCAAAGAAAAAATCAGGGAATAAAGACATAGCTTGAATATGGGACAAAGTTCATTAACTACTCCTATGCAAATCATGTTACAGAATCACAGAATATGCTGAGTTAGAAGGAACTCACAAGGATCATCGAGTCTGACTTCTGGCCCTTTAGAGGAAAATCACAAGAGTCACACCCTGTGTCTGGAAAGCTTTGTCCAAACGCTTCTTGAGCTCTGGAAGCCGGTGCAGTGACCACTTTCCCGGGAGGTTGTTCCAGATCCCAACCACCCTCTGGGGAAAATAACCTTTTTTTTTTTTTTAATATCCAACCTTAAACCTCCCCTGGCACAGCTTCATGTCCTGCCCTCGGGTCTTGTCACTCGTCGCCAGGGAGTGCCTGCCCCTCCGCTTCCCCTCACGAGGAAGCTGCAGACTTAACACATATTAATAGTTATTAAAAAGCCCATCATAAGCGGCTTGTCTCTGCCGGGCACTCCGAGTCACGCAGACACACTGACAGCCCGCGCGGTTTCCACTGCCCTGAAGTGGGACAGGACGCGCTGCTGTGTCACCAAACCAATGTTTTCCAGTCAGGGCTGTTGCTCAGGTGTTCTAAGCGCTGGGGAGCCTCCCCTGCCCCTCGAACACACCCACACCGCTCCCCCGCGGCCCTCAGACTACTGAGGGGAGGCACCCGGGGTGCCGCCCGCGCATGCGCACACGTGNTGTCAGTCATGGCGCAAGCCAATCGGAAGCAGGCGGTGCCGGGTCACGGGGGCGGGCCGGGCTCGGGGCTCACCTGCTGCCGCGGGACGGGAAGTGCTGGCTGGCGAGCGGGTCCGGCCTGCTGCCCGCCCCACACGGAGGTTCCACAAGCCAGGCTCGGAGGGCTTTTTTCCATTATGTCTGTCAAACGCAGGTGCGCGTTTGGTCGCTTACAGATCGCTCTGTCTTATTTTAAAAAATAGAAAACGCTTCAGTCGTTCAGGCTGTGCATTTCCTCCTGAGGGCTGTGCCGTGGAAAAGCTGGTGCAGAGCCTGTCGGACAAGTCTGTCCAGGCACAGCGTGGGTTAAATTAACAGCCTCACGTGTGGACGCTGTCCTGCCTTCCCGGCAGGAGCAAGAACAATTTAGAAAGGGTTTTTATTAATTAAAATTTGTTTTTACAAGATGAAGTGTTGTAGCTTTTTGCAGAAAAAATGTGCTGTAGAGGAAATTTGTCGAATGAACAGTTACTTCTTTTCTGAACAAGTTGAATGCTAAGTTGCAGAAGTTCATAATTCTGCTCTTGATGAAGTGGCTGCCAAGCAGCCATCAAAAATTGGGTCACCTGCCCTAAGAGTATACTTATGCAAACATGCTTATGTTTGTAAATGGCTTTTCATACAAAACGTCCTCTGTGAGTATCATGCCTCAGCTCTCACCAGCTTAATTTTTCTCTCTGATTCTCTTGGTCTGGCCTAATTTTTTGGCTGTGACAGCTCTGAGCAGACAGTTGTGCTCTGGGGCTGGTGTGCTGCCAAGTACAAGCAAAGAAATGGATTTGGAAAGGTGGATTGATACAGGTTTAGTGCTGGTTGTGTTTACATGAAGGGTGGACAGCAGAGTTAAGCTAGCCCACAAAGATTGCAGAGAATTGATTTTGAACCCTTTTAGCTTCCTTGTTTTCATTGTACCACATATGTTGAGTTTTAAGTATACCTGAGATTTTTGAATGATCTTTTGTAAGGTAAGTTACAAGGGCTACAGACTAGAAACTAAAAATGTCCTACCACATGTGCAGTAGCCACCGATCTGAAGCCAAGCTCTTGGCTTAGGACTCTGTAGTGGTAGATCAGTCTTGAGAAAGGTCCATAGGTATAGTAGATAACAGACCCCATCTGAATTATTTGCTTGATATGTGGGGAAGGTGATGATAAATCTTCTCCAGTAAAGAAATTGAAAAATTTGAATTCCCATTGTCTGTATATTTTCAAATATGTTAATAGTCTTTTGCTTGTGTCAGACTTCATCAAAGACACAGGGAATTTGCAGTAAACAAAATGAAAAGGTTGCAAATGCTTCAGGATTTAATTGGGACAAAACCAATTCCTTTTCATAAAATCCCTGTGGTGTTTAAGTCCTTAAGGTTTATAGGATTTTTGATACTGAAGTTTCCAGTCTTATTATTTTCTGCAATGATTTTGATTTAGCATTTTAAATAATTTGAGTTTTTCAATTCACACTGTGACCTTTTCTATACAACAGTTACAATTGTTTGAATGTTAAAATATAGTTAATTTTTTTTGTTTTGAAAATGTCAAATTAAAACAAGTTAATTCACCTAAAGGGACAGCTTGGCCATAGAAATAACTTGTGTAGCAATGAACAAGGAAAACTAAAACTACTTTCTAATCTTACTGTTTTTCTTTGTTAGGTCCTTCCTTTTAGGAACAATTACAGACAAAAAATATGAGAAAGAAACGCATCAAAGGCAAAACTGCACAGTCTGATGAGTCTCCAGATATGCTGGGTATGTTTCCTTGGAGAGGTCTGTGGACCTAATGTTTCTTTTAACCTCAAAGAAAGCTTGAAAGCTGATTAACATTAGAAGGCCTTCATACTAGTCACTTGCTTTGAAGTCTCATTTACAAAATCTGGATTTTTAATTGAAACTCAAGTCTAAGCAAGAAATACTGTTGTCGTGACTTTTCTAAGTATGCTAGAAAATAATAATCCTGTCTTGAAAACTGAGATTAGTTTCTGTTTTTTAAGGAAACTCAAACACACGGTTCTTTACTGATACAGATTGTGTAAAATTACTCAGAATATAAAGGGTTTGTGGAGTCAGCCTCCAAGCTCAGGTTGCATTTTCCTAGTGAAAATTTGTTGCAGAAAATTCTTGCTTTAGTAGGAAAACTTGTGACTAAAATACTTTTTGTGAAGAAATTTCTCTTTATTCTTGCAGCTAATTTGGTACTTACTCTAGACACTTCAGCTCCCATAGTGTATTTTGGTTAAAACCTCTTAACCTCTTCTTTCTGTTCTTTTGCTCCTAATCAGAGATACTAAATTCTATTCTTTGGCTCCACTGGATCCCACCTGTGCTGATTTTTTTTGGTCTTGTTTATCCTGGTTATGGTAGCTTTTGTTTTTACTTGTGTTGTGTAGCATTCTCTTCTACCACCTTATCTGCCAAGTCACTGATTGTGTCTTTCTCATCTTTTTTGTTGATTCTAGCTGGAGGAGTGAGTTAAACCAGGCTAATTTAGCTGAGAGAGAGCACTTAGAGTTTGAGGAAGCTTGGTGGGATGGCCTGTTTAAGTCCACTCTGCTTTGGTTTCCTGATTGTCCTGATCTTCTTGTGCTAGCTTCTGTCTCTAAAGAATGCCTTTTTTAGCTGCTTTTGTCTGGTTTGGTTCTTGGGGGTGTTGGGGCCTTTTTTGTTTCCTGGTGTCAATGTCTACTGTAACTGTTTTTCTTTTTCTCCTGCAAAGAGATCAGTTATGTTCTAAATGCTGCTGTCATCTCAATTTTTTGCCTGTAAATAGGTTATCTTAAGATGACAGAGACCTGTAAAGCCACATATGAAACTAAGACTGATCATGAATGTTCCACTGTAACATGAATAATTCCACTGTAACAGTAGTTGCCAGTATAAAATTTTTTGTTTGTTTTTTAAATGATGACTTTGAGGTTGTAGATGAAGCTTATGTTTTTCAGAAAGGCTAAGGTAATGCTGAATATCTATGTTTGCCTCTTGTTGGTCAGCATTTGTGCTTTGATAAAATCCTGTGATTTTGGACAGGAGCAGAACTGTAGGTACAAAAATTTGCACCAGTTTCACCTTATGCTAATAGAAGTTTGCAATCTTAAGGCTGTAATCTTGCCTCAACAAAGATGGATTCAGAGCTGTTACACTATCTGAGCAATAAAAACACCTGAAAGTAAAGGTTTATGATACAGCAACAGTATACCCAGATTGTGCATGGTGGTAACAAAAGGTTTCTTTCTGATACTATGATAAATTGTCAGTGTTTCTTTGGCTCTAGAAAGACTGCTTCAGCTTCTGGGTTGCTGCCTGTGTCTTCAGTGTTTGTATTTGTTATGCTATCTACATCCTTCTTGTGCTTTTTAATTTGTAGAACCTGTGTGCAAGCATATTCATAAAGGACTGGACCAAGGGCGAGTGAGAAGGGCACTGCACAATGTGGAGTGGCATGTTTGTCAGGACTGCAAGGCAGACAGTAAGACACAAGAGAAGGCTGAGGACGAGGAGACTGATGAAGGCACCTCGATATGGTTATGCCTAAAATGTGGCCATAGGGTATCTCTTTTGTTGTTAATTTGTCTCAATATCTTTCAGTGTCTTGTAATACAGTGGAACAAGAGAGTTTCTAATTAAACCCTTATATTCTTTTTTTTATTGTAAAGATGGTGCTACCTAGATGACTTTATATGCTCTAGAGTGTGATTTAAAAATATCTGCTCTGAATGTCAAATGAAGTACCTGGAAGATGGCCCAAAGTCATTGAGCAGGCTTAAGGCTAAAACACCATCTTGAGGATTGGTTTTCCTAGAAAGTTTGATTTTTTATTTTTCTTTCTGAGAAAATGAAAATGCTCCTAATCTGTCAATTTTTAAAAGATTTTAATGCTCACTTTAGTTCATGAAACTTACCACTCTGCATGCTGAAGTGGTTTTGGTTCTGTTTTATTCTTTCAGGGATTCAGACTGAAATTCATTCATTAAATGTTCAGTCTCATAGCAGCTTTATTCTGCACCCAGTAAATTATCCATCTGCAGAAATAAGTATTTTGAAGTAGATAGCCATCTGTTGATCCCTATTAGTTGAACATAATTGAACAGTTTTCATTGTAACACTTTGTTTTCATTCTGACTTTATGTATGTTTCATTGACAGTCAAACGGATTTTGTGACACTTGTGGTTATCAATATTGTAGGGCTGTGACAGAAATTCTCCAGACCAGCATGCTTTAAAGCATTATGAAAGACCAAGATCAGATCCCCACTGTTTGGTTCTCAGTTTGGACAACTGGAGTGTGTGGTGAGTTTATCAGGCAGCACAAGACAGAGCTGGAGGGCAACAGAGGCTAGAATATAATTTGTCCTTTCTTTGTGAATTCTGAGATTTATCTCTAGATATATATTCAAGTGTTTCCAGACATGTAATTTCCAGCAGTCTTTGCTGAGACTTGTGCAGTAAGTGTTATTTTCTTGTAAAATTTATGATTAGAAAATTTTCATAATTAAGGTTGAACTTGACCAACTAGTAAAAATGGTTGACTTCATATTTTACTGCTTTTACTTGATCAGAATACTGACACATGAAAACAAATGTTGATCTGTAGCTCTAAATCTTAAGATTCAACCCTGGGAGAAGGCTCTTTCTGATATGCACTTAGTGACAACCTTACTTTTATCTCCTCAGTAAATACAATTTTTTTAATACCACATATAGACAGGAAGTGCCACTAGAATTACAAGGTGCTACTGGATCAAGCAATACGAAATCCATGTCCCTGGTAGATTTTGCTTCTCTCAAAAGCAATTACACACTTGTATATATAAGGGGAACCCTAATTTTCTAAACTGTGCTATATAGAAATACTGTACTTGACATAAAGAGTTTTTCTTTTGCTTAGTGATGTGGTTTTGCCACTTAGTATCTGTCATTATATTAATTTTACATAACATTATCTATTTACTTGATCACAC